GTTGGTGTGCAGAGGCCTTTATGCACACAAGCTCTAAACTCACCCACATTACATTTTTTTATGTTACATATTTTCTTTTAGTTTGACAAACACTAAGCTAAGCTAAGCAAAGTCATGCTGTGAGATTTGTGGAAATGAAGTCTGTAGCTTTGTGACACTGTCAAAGACTTTTTCTTTGCTTGCAAGTCTGCACTGAAAACCCTCACACAAGTGGAGAAAGTCCTGAACGCTCAATCTTTCAGGAGAGCAGCTTAGCTCAGAGCTGCAACAGTTAACACTTCAGTCACACTACAAAGCTCCCAGGTGTGTGTGATAGTGTGTGTGGGTGTGGGTGTGGGTGCAAGTGGTCCCCCAGGATGTCGGTGTAAATTAATAGTGTGTCCTCAGTCAACCTCCCCTAAATAACTGCAAGCGAGGGGCCAATTTTAAATGGTGAGCTTTCCTCAAAACCTTTCCTCTGGTTAAAACGCCTGAAGAAGTAACTTATAATGTCATAACTGTAGGTGCAAAGACAGCACTGCAAATATATTGATCTGACAAAGTCGATTAACCTGGTATTGAGGTTTTAGAGCCCAACTGAAATTAAATCGCATGTTTTTTCTGCTACAGCATAGAGAGGAAAACTCCAAAGGAAGAAATGTATATTGTTTTTGGTATCTGGTTTCCTCTTTCTATGCATCAGGATGTCGCTGTTGATTTGCATGCAGCCAATCGAATAATTTATTTTTAAACTGGATTAAATGTCACTTTTCTTTCACTGGCTGACGGTAACAATAACTTACAGCCAAACAACACAATGCAAAAATGGCCTCAAACCTCAACCCATATTAGCTTCCCTTCCCTATCTACAAACATAGACACACGGTGCAACTTGGCAAGCTACCAAACAAAAGTGCACCGCTAACGTCAGCTTGCAGGATAATAAAAGCCTAGTCAGCTACAGCACATTGAAGAGCTGAAAAATGTACTTGCTTATGTCAAGACTGGTCAGTTTAGATACTAAATAATCTTTATTCTTAGAATTTCTATTCCGCAACACCAAAACACTAACAAAATACTCACTTAGCGGTTTTTAATTTATTTTTAAATTTAAAAATCACCTTAGCTTTGATTTCTGAATGAAAAATGTGCTGATTTTTGTCATTTTAGTGTTTTGTTTTCTAATTCTTCTTCTTTTTTTGTAGGTTATTATGATACCAGAGTCTGTCTGTGACCCTGCCGACTAACTACAGTGGATTTTTAAAGATGTTCAGGACCTTACACTTTTAGGATGAGTAACATTTCCTCTTTCTGTGGGCATAGCCATCAGTGAAAAAGTTGCGACTTTCAAGGTGAAGCTAGCAGCTGAAAGCAAGAGGTCACTGTAAAAATGGAGGGAATCTTTTTTAAACTAAAGACTGGCTGCATTCACCATCTGCCTTTTCAAGGATTGTGGAGCGTTTACAAATGTCGGTTACCGGAGCCTCAGGCTACAGAAGAAGTCTTTTCAAGGTAGATCGCTCATCACGATGAGAGACAGGTGTTGTGGAAATACTGATATTGAATATTGTAGCTTTTAGAAAAAATAAATTGTAAGACTTGACATAAGAGAAATTACTTTTACCCTCTGACACTAGTCTCTAGCAGGAAACAGCAATGAATCAAGAAAACAATCAAAATTGACGTTTGTGTTTCCCTGCCCCACCTGGGCTTCGTTGTCTTTGAGCATCCGTTTGGTTCGGGCCCCGCCAGGGTCATCTGTCACGTTAAGAATCACCACGCTCTTCTTTTCCCAGCCGATGAATGAACCGTCCGTCATTCCCTCCACCATGGCCAGAAAGTCCTCGTAGCCGTGGTGACGAGTGGTCACCACAGAGAAGGAGGTCCAGTCGTACTCTTCAAGCACCTCGAAGATGACCTCGAGCTGGAGTGAAGTGGCGCAGGTGAACTGGAGGTAGATGGAGCCGCTTTCCTGAAAGCAAGGAGAGCCAACATGAACCCATGAGAACATTCGGGCATTGGTATTGCTCCAGAATATATGTTACAGTTAAATAAAATATGGAGAAGGATAAACGACAAGAAAGGCTGAAAACAAATCACTGTTATCAGTTCTGACTGCTCGATCTTTTTGCTCTGTTGGACCTTTTTTTAGCCATTCTAAGATTTCAGCATTTGCTTTGGTGAGTTTAAAGTCACTATAAGCAACGGCAGAAGCTATAAAAAATGCTGAAGTTGTAATAAACCATAGTTTTCCTTGAAGGTTAGTAAAAGAAGCAAACATTCATTCTGGGACAGGATGCAAACTCTAGTCTCCGTGAAAGTCAGGCACTGAGCATCTGTGAGCCCTTAACCTGAGGGAATAATATAGAGTGATAAAGAAACCAACACACAGCTTTCACCTTAACTCATCTGTGTCAAAGCCATAATAATAGGATCAAAAATAAACATTTTCACAGTTATGAACACACAAATTATCTCATTCACCTGTGTACTTTAACATGATATGTCACTACATATAAAATATACCTTCTACTTGGCATCACAACTACACAACTCATTAGCTACAATAACAGAACTGCAACAAACACCAAATATTCTTATCTGTTTCATACACCCATGCTGATCACAAGCTTTCTGTCTTGAACAACTTTCCTTCACTGGTTATAACTGTAAATAACACTGCTTATGTCACAAATGTAACTCAGGGATTCAGTGGGTGCATAGACCAGACCAGCACATTGGACTGACATGTCTGCACCCCTTTTTCAATAGATGGTTATGCAATTCGACATGTGTTTGGATTGCAAGTTTCTATGTATTCATTTTGTTTTGAAGAAGCCATTGTTTTATGGACGTGTCTAACAATTATTTTGCAATCTTAGCTCAACCATGCTTATGATACCTTGATGGGTCAGCTGTCATAGCCATCGTGCTTATTTGGACATCTATACATATTTGATTGAATCACAAGGTATCGTTAGGCAGTGTCTGTAAATAACCAACCTGTTAATAACCAATATTTTGATCTAGGCTAAGTTGAAATTTAGTCAGAGGCAGCAGTTACTCCAGAAGCCCCCCACTCAAGCTGGCTATTGTAAATGTCACCATCATTCAGCTATTTACCACACTAACGGTGAATATTCATGTTTCTTATTTGCCTCAAATCCCAGTGTGAAAGCCTTGGTTATTAATGTTTCAACTTTCTAATTCGTTATAATTTAAATGACAGAAGCTAATTCACATTTATTGTATTGGGAGCCTGGATAATATGTTTATTGATTTTACAACCTGCACAACAGCTTTTCAGCATTTCCCTGTTTCTCTCGTTATGTGAAAGCGCTCTCTTCCCCCCTAAACCAGCAGTTGATGAGGTGATGCCAGTCTGGTCTATACTGTAAGTCTCCCAGTGTGAGTGTATCCATACAGTTTAAGCTACTTCTCATCCAGTTCAGCTCTTTTCTTTTCCTGGTGGCGGACTGACTTCAGAGGGGAACACTCGGAGGAATAACATAGTCTGTCTGTCAAAAAAGTCCTTGGCTTCTGAATGAGGCTTTCAGTGTCAATGAAAGAAACAATGATCGCCTTCCTCTCTGCTGCTCCAGTCACATTTAATCTGGATAGATGAGGCGCTCACTGGTTGAAAGAGGAATTCATTTCTTTTGGCTTTTCTTCTATTGTATTTGTCTTAACACTACAACAAAGGAACGAGTGGAATAATTCACATAGGTTAAGAGAGTTGGAATGAATGTGAGCTTAAACAGTGAAATAATGCAAAGGACTTATCATGACTATGCACTTTTTTGACATTGTCCAAAGTTTTCAGCAGTGTTAACAGTTAATCGTTGAGCTCCCTTTGAACATAAAACAAAGAGGCAGTGAGCATGTGTTAAAATTAATGATCAAGAGGAAACTTCAGGGAGCATCACGCTGCCTTCCCACGTCGACAGGGCTCACCTCAGGTTATGCAGCACTGAACTAGGTCAAATATCAAACCAGCATCAGCCTGATTTATGATGTAAGCTTGTCTGCTTTTCTTAACCCAGATCAGAGTGAAGTGTACAGGGAACGTGCTGGGAGTGAGCGGTGGTGGTGTGTGGTGTAGGCTCAAACATAAAACAAAATTTTTGTGTCCCTTTGGAAGCTAGAGCTAAAATAAAATACTCTACTTGCACTCTTGTCATGTGAGCACTCACCAGAAACAAAAAATGACTGACGCTGTGTCCCAAGTCACAGATTTAGAAGCACAAGCTTGATTGATTCTTGGCGTGTATCAGGACACATGCATGACTCAGTGTCCCAAAGGCCATTAAGAACTGATTAGAATTGAGTTATACAAATATTTCTCAGATGCAGAGCTATTCTGGATTTGCTGTGTTAAACCCCCTGTGGGCAGGGTCAAAGAACCATAGCATCTCCAGCTAAGAAACATTTGACTCAAACACAGAAGAAAAGATAAGAGATAAGCTAAATCTATTTATGCTAAATGATTTACTAGTTAGCCTAGCTGTCTTTCAAACTAAGTAGTGAACTAAGCCAAGTTTTTATATGAGCCTCTCAGCCTTTAAAGAATACAACTGCCATCAAGACTCAATGGAAAATTGTATGCTGTGCATTACCATTCAAAAGTTTGAAATCACCTGTTATACTGGTGATAATTCTGGTTATAATTATTTTGAATAGTTTAAAATAGTTTTGGCCCCAAAAGGAAAAATAATTAAATTATTAATACCTCATTTTAGTCCCCACAATGTGGGGAGAATACTGTTGTAACCATTTTTATACCCTTCGATTTTGAATTTATTGCCCAGGAAGAGCAGAAATGACACAAGATCATTATCGAACCACCTGCAATGCAAATTTTGTGAACCTTTTCATTTATTTGTTTATTTATTTTTAACAGGGGGCCCTCTGCAGTTTACTCAGTGGTTCGATTTAACAGCTTTAAACAGTGGTTTGTCAGAGTATGTTCAGCTGGTATGTTCAATATTGCAAACCCTAGGCCAACCTTTTTTTTCTATATTGAAGTTAAGAATAGCTTTGCTAAGGATCACAGCTGTTAATTCCAGCTTGTTATAGTAATTATTGTGCACTTGACACTGAAACAGGAACCTGTTCCTATTCAAATTTGCAGTTTTTGATGCTAAGCTTCCAATTCATTTTTCCAATGACCAATGGTGGTTTATAATATTCTTATTTAACTGCTCAGAGGTATCTCTGTCTCTTTCTATCCTTTCAAATATCAGTCTGATTGAACCATAATACAGTTTTTTGTCCTCTGTGTAAAAAACCTTACTTTTTTTGCAAACCCTTAATACAAGGTAACCTCTATTTGTAAAGAGGACTTTCCAAAACCTTAAAGCATAAAAGACCATTCAAAAGTAGTCCTCTCAGCCATCTGACTGTACCAAATGAAGGTTTTGAGCCAGGCAATTCCAGGCAAGTTAATTGGCAGTAGCTCATTCTGGGTTTAACTCAATAAAAAGTACCTGTGGATCAGTAACATCTTATGTTATCTGAGTTTTGTACCTAGAACAGGAAGAGTATCTTTATGCTTTATTCATTTACAATTCTCTCTCTCTCACTCTTCTTCTTAATCAGCTGACTACGGGTGTTTCTAATAAACCAACCACTTTGCTACGATCTCATTGGGCTAATAATGCTGCAGCTGTCAAACTTTAAATCGTTCAGCTCTGATTTCAGTGTGAAATTGTTGCAACCATCAACATATATAAAGATGTACGACATGACAGCTCAAAACATCCTGATCGTCCTCTGGTGGCTGACTGCAGTGTAGGTCATAAAGCCCGCTGCCTCCATGTTAACAGATGGGACATGGGCCAAACTAAAATGTCAAAATAAAAAACAAATCAAAGATGGTTTCAGACAGTCTAGGTAGTTCTTAACACCTTGGTGTATGTTCAAGTGTTAATTTTTCTGATAAATTTGGTTTTAATTAGTTATTTGAAGCTGTAAAAACTGGGTTTCAAGACATGATTGACAACTGGGCCCTGCTTGTTATTGAGCATTCAGCAATACCGCAGTGCCAACCCCAATCACTACGGGATAGACTCAGGCTCCAAATGACATCACCAGCACGGGATGGCAGCGGCCGTATCCCGAATATTTTGGCTTCATTTTTGTAGGGTGGGAGAAGGTGGTGATGTGACGTCCATCTTTTATGTCAGTGGTTGCTGATGATGGATCCACTCATCACATCCAGATCTTCAGCATTCTCTTCCTCCCTTCAGCACCACCACCAGTGTCTAGACTCCATCGATGAGTTTCCTATACTAATCACTGCTCCACCAACCCCTTCAAATACACAATGAGGTCTAATCTCCAAAGACTTTTCACATTTCTCATCTTTATTCAATCAAATATATCGGTTCATTTAAAATGTCTCCTGATTGAAATGTAATCAAAGGGGATTTACTGAGTCTAACAAGAGCAAAAGTAGTGTTATTTCAAAGCAAACTCACCTCCCACCATAAATGCAGCTGCTTCCAATAACAAACATTCACATGCTATGACAGCTCACTGCCAAGCTGAATGTGTCACATCAGCTGTTACCATAGCTGAAGTTAAAGTTATGTAGAAATCACAATAACAACATCATACTGTCAACATGAGCCACTTAAAACAAATTGGCCCACTTATTAAACATCACACCTGTCATGCCAAATTGCTTTGTTAGCTTGATCTACTTATCACTAATGCCTGTCAGCAAAACATTACCTTTTGTCACACACAGATTAGCCAGTTGGAGAACTGATAACCATTAATTAGTCTGCAACAATGGGCAAGCATCATTTAAAACGAGGTGACACAGCAGCCATCATGATTAACTGAAGTGTGAATTTTGACACTGAAAGTCTTTCAGGACATGAAAATTAATGTTGATGAAATGCAAAAGTTTATTGATTGCAATTGCTAATACACCTTTTCTCTGTAGTGTGATTGCATTGCTCAACTGCAACACTCACACAGTCTGCACTGAAAACATCCAGCACATCCTCTGCTCGGTAAAGAGAAGTAAATTTGATGCTGATGAGCTAAGCAGCAGTGACAGAACTAAAGAAATTCTGACAAAGAAATAATTTTCCTCTTCTTCATTAGTGCTTAGTGATGAGGTCAGAGCAGCATGTTTTCTGAAATGTTTATCGTTTCGAAAATAAGTAAATCTTACAAGGTACTTGAGTCTGAAAGAAATTATAGATTCTTCACTCAGCTCCATTTTCCTGTACCAGAACTATGAGTTATAGTCTTCTGTGTCAAGTAGCGACTGTTATACATCAATACTACTCACAGGCCTAAAGTATTTGTCATATCCGGAGCTGAAATGTGCATTTTTGTGAAGAGTAATGTCTGGAAAAAGGAACTTTGCTCCAAGTCGGCACCAGCTCTTGCTATGATGAGAACCTAATGTGGTGTAAAGAAGTGAGTAAAACAGTACGGAATAACTTGCTTGTTTTCTACTGCTGGCACATTTACCTAAAGCTCCCATTCTGGTCTTCAAGCTGCTCTAACTGATATTTTTATATTGACGGGGGATCAATGCCTGTGTGTAATGTGAAGGTGTTTGCTCACTGACAAACTCACAGAGTTATCACCTGACTGCAGTTTTCCTCAGCAATAAGTACCATATTTCATGTCATGTCAGTAATAGCTTTAATACTTAATAATTTGGAATTTCCCCATTGTGGGACTATTAAAGGAATATCTTATCTTATCTTATCTTAATAATACCAACGTATGCTTCCTGCCCCATTCCACAGCAGACAAAGTTAGTGAGTAGTAGGTGCACATAGTGGAGCACCTTAAGACATTTCTCTCTGCAGTTAATTGAGACCGAAACAGAGCTACAAGAAGAGTGAATATTGGACTTCTGTGGCTAAGAAAGAGTTGCTATCCACTAATCACTAAAGACAGCAGAATACATGAATTTACATCTTTTAATTGCATAATAAATAATCTAATTTATGACAGTATATCCTCTAATGGCTAGTAACAGTAGCCATAACTAATCCTTTAAGATAAAGGATAGGTACACATATTTTTTCTCTACTACAATATTCCTCATCTATCTTTAATTCAAAATAAAGAAATCACAGTAATTCTACCTCAGAAAAGTCAGTGGAGGTCAGTGAGCTAAATCTTCAGACACTTGACTCATTATTTCTTACGGTCTGTGTTTCATCCTCTAAGCCACAGATAGTCCTTGCTTTAGTCCAAATAAAATTAAAAGGCTTGATGATGCAACGTTAAGTAATTTACCTGTGGCTCTCGTCCCAGGCTGGCCCCACCCCCCACAGCAACCACGGGAACCCCCGTCTGGGCAGAGACGAACTCCAGCATGGGGGCCAGAGGGGCACGGTTCGGCGGCGGCGGTCTCTCCTCCTCAAACACCAAACCCTGGAAGTAAAACAGGTTACACAATGAAACAAAGCACAACAGACAAAGACATTACATCAGCCTCATTGAGACACAATTTCATAAGCTTCTCATTATACTTTTATTCATCAAAGCTGCCGTTTCTTTTATTCTTATGCACCCTGAGAATAAATTAAAGGCTGAACAAGAGAGCAAAATATATTAGAACAACGTGTACATTCACACACTGTTCACAGTATTTGTGATAACAGCCCATACACTAGACTTTATTTTCTCACCCTGCTAACAAATATCTCAGCTGCTGAAGGAACTGAATTTTTCGAAAGAGTTTTAGAGTTTTAATGAAGTAATTAAACAACTGTTGGAAGCTTTTAAAAATTGGACTGTTGTGCAGCTCTGATTGGCAATCAGTGTTCACAGAGATAAAATCAGAGTTAAGTCCCTGCAGTGGACTGACATGCTGTCAGGAGAAGAGTGTGTGTTGTAGCTGTACAGCTTAAGCTGCTTTACACCACAGAAACAACAGATAAGCTCCTGGCTTATGGGCCACCTCAGCTCCTGCATGGGCTTACTAACAGGCGTGGCTGTTGGAAACATGCTGAACTGCTTCTGTAAACAAGCCGTGTTTTGTATGATTGTTCTGGTAACCATGGTTTTGTTGTGATTACCTTTTCAAGAAAGAACTGTCAGCAGCGGTAATAAATTGTGTATAAACGCATAAAGTTCTGGCAATTGCCATTACTTTCTGTAATGATACGAGGAGGAGCAATAGTGATTTAAGGCTGGCTTGATGACTTAACGCTTGTTTTCCTGAAGCGATTCAGTGGAGCAAATTGAAGTTAAGTGTAGCTGACAGCTCAATTCTCACAGGGAAGCATTTGATATGCAAATAGGCTACAGACAGGACCTGGAAATAAGATAGCAAGTGTTACTTAAAAGAGTTAATACCATACTTGATCTAAGATGTTTAACAAGACCTTTCCACTGTTCTGATATGAACAAATAGAGAGATAGAGAGCTTAAATCTAAATTGACACATAAATAATGTATATGTTTCATAGAAGATTGAATGAATGAATATATGAATGAGTAATGAAACAAGAATAGTGTGTTTTATTACCTCTGTCAGTATGATCACAAGCAGCTCTCAGAGTCTGGGCTCAGGTCTGCTCCCATCCACAAGTGTTATACTATGAATGAATGAGTGCATGAGTGAGAAAATGAACAAACTGCACAATGACAATGAACATGAATGAATGAAGGGACCGTTTGTAATTTCTCTAAAACAAAGCTGAATGAACAGAAAAGCCAGCCATGGAAACAACAACATGTTAATGGTCTGAAAGCGTAAATGCATTTCTTGGCTGGAAAACTTCTCTCATCTTTGAAGGGTCAGCCACACTTCAAACAAAAGTGGCAAGGTGTAACACATTGATTTGTGTTCAGTCACTGTCTATTTATGCCTACGTATACTCGCACGCGGTAAACAATCATTCTAAATTGCGTTTTTCTGTCTAAAAATGCATTTGAAAAGTGATCACATTGTAATAAAATATATCTAACTTTGTCTTAATAAGATATTACTGCTAATACTGAGCTAGAGTTAACCAGTAACAAGTTAAAAACAATGGTTTGCATAATATCCCAGCATACGAAGATTATTTTCCTTATTTTGAGAGTAAGACCACATGCACAACTTCTGTTGTAAATGAAGAAGCTGTTTAGTTTTTCATTGTTTTAATAGAAAAACGCTTAAAACAAGGAATGTTTTGTTGCCTTCATTTCCAACAAAATCCTAGTTTTTTATTATGCTGTTTGAAGAAATTGTGTCATATTGTAAGATTTCTTTGGTTAATTATTAAACTTAGATTAAGGTACAAATTCTTAAATTCAGCTTAATAACGTGACCAAAATACTTATTTTAAGGAAGTCTTTCTTTAAATGCTTGCTTGTAATAAGAACAACTTACTTAAGTTTACTTAATAATTTGTTCAGCAAATGTGTTCGAGTTTTAAGGCCCAGTACGGACTTTCAGTGGCTAGTTTTTTAGGCTATTTGTAAGAATTCTAGCCAAGCAAATATAGATTAAGATGATTTTGTATGTATGTGCCATGTAGGTTGTGTATGTTGTATTATGTCTACCTGCAGTGGTGTGGTGGCCAGCAGCTCACACAGCTGCAGCAGCAGGCTGCCCGGGCTGCTCTCATTCACAGCCAGGTAGATGACGTTGGCCTGACCCGATGGCGTCATTACCGTCTCCCCCACGAGCGCAGCCAGCGACAGGGATGACGAGGAGGAGGAGGAAAACGAGGCCATTGCAGCCACTCCTTCCAACAGAGCTGTATCCGTTACTCCCTTTCCTCCTCCTCCTCCACCTCCTCCACCTCCTCCCCCTCCTCACCCTCCTCCACCTCC